GAGACGGACCCGAGGCGGCTTTTCTGGGTTCAGAGGAGGGACTGGAAGCAGCTTTGACGTCTCTCCAAGGCTACCGAAACGCGAAAATGCTGTTTTTCAGTTCAGGGGTGGCATCTGTTCGTTATCTTTGCGTGAGACAACTCCTCTCTGCCCCTCTCCAAGTCCCCGAAATTCTTACAGGACGAGCAAACTGCGTTCCACACAAGTCTTTTAGAAATCCCTCCTGCTGGGGATACTAACGTGGTCCTGACAGAGCCACTGACCGCTGAAAGCTCCCTTGGGTGTCGGCCTGCCGACCGAGGGCCCCGGTGGCTCACCCGCGCACTCACCGGTTCTCCCCGTTGGCGGTGGGGTCCACTAGCACGCCCTCGGTCAGGGGTCACCCTCCCGCACTCTCCTCGTGCTTTCTCCCCAGGCTTTTCCTCCGCGCGACTCTTCCCCCGGGGTCCAGGGACACTGCTGGGCTCTGCCGCAGCCCTGCCAGGCGCGCGGCCGCGCCGTGCCTCGGCTCGCTCGGAAACCAGGAGCACGGGGGGAGGCAGAGGCACTGGCATCGAGCTGGGAAGGACTGTGCCCCAGACGTGCCGCTTCAGACCCACAGGACTACCTAAGTGCACTAATTAAGGCCGTGATGACCTCGACTCACCTACCTTGGGGCCCCCAACCGCACACCCTGCCCTCAGGACAAGGGCTCCATTTCAGCTCAGCCCGGGGCCTTCAGTCCCCTGCCCAGCTATGTCTCAGGTGTTTCTCTCTCCAGCCCCATCTCCCAGGTGGACCTTGGACCTGTGTTTCCAGTCCTGTTCCTGGCACCATCTCCCGCTCCTCCTGCCTAGACTCCGTGGGTGGACCTCGTACCTGGTTCGTCACCTCCTTTCGTCTGGGTGTGTCGGTGGGTCCGACCACGAGTGCCGGCCCTGTCCGCCCCGCTCGGGCGCTGCGGGACTCTGCCCAGGATGGTGAAGGCCACTGCTGTGGCTCCGGCCACCCCCAGCTCATCTTCACATCGTCGGGCAGCCCCGCTCCGCTGCTCCCTGGGGCCGTGGCAGAGCTCCTGCCCAGAGAACTGGCAGCAGCAGGACTCCAGCGAGAAGAAAGCCACCAGGCAAAAGCCAAGACACATTTGCGTGGACAGGGGAGGAGTAAGCACATGTTTCTCGGTCAGGAAGGTGGTGCTAGAAAGAGCTCATTTTTGTTTCCTCGTCCCTTGGCTGACCGAGCAGCGGAGGGGCAGAGCTAGCCGTGCTCGGCCAACGCCGAGTGCTGAAAACACCCAACGTGAGCAGCGGTGTGGAAGCACTGCTGCGGCCGCTCGCTGTTCGGGCTTTCCCTGCCATGCTCCTGAGCGAGCCCGCGGCCGTGACTGAGATTGTCCCTGCGGCCAGGCAAAGAGGGCTGCCCGGGTGGAGAAGCTGCAGCCTCCAAGGGGAAGCTGGTGCAGCTTCTCTCCTTCCCCTCACGAGGCAAGCGCGGAAAGTACTTTGAGGAGAAGACGGTGTCCCGGGTGGGGGCAGAGGACAAGCTGGGGGGGCTCGCTTGGCTCTGGGGTGGTCGCCAGGCAAACTCTGTGTGCGACGCGGGACGACGCTGCAGGCGGG